TAGCGGATGGCCTCACCTACCATATGGGGGACAAACCCTACACCTTCTTGAGGGCTCCCTTCTGCACTCCACTCTTTCTCCCTTTCTGAAGGACCAGATTTAAAGGGTCTCTGGGTTGAAAACACTCTCAGAACCCCATCCCACTGGTGTCTCTGGGCACTGTTTAGCACAGCTGCAGACTCCTCCCACATGCTTCTGAGGCCCCAGTCTGCTGGGAACAGGACATGGCCACCCCTTGGCCTCTCCGCAGCTCTCCGTACAGCGCCCTTCCTCCAGGCTGAACTGCCTCCTCTCCCTGCACTTAGGACCCGAGTTCTTGCAGCTTCCTCCAGCCTTGCAGCTGCACCTGCCCTCTCTCCTCCCTCAACGTCCTCCAGCCAGCTCTCCGTGGTGGGGTTGTCTGGGACTCTGTGCCCAGCCCTTGTGTCTGCCTGTGATGACGGAGCCCCAGAGCCCTAGTGGCACAGATGTCTGGATAGCAGGAGTCCACCCCGACCTCTCCCTCGCCGTGCTCTACTGCCCGTGTGCTGCCTCCACTAGGAGTCCACCCGGCATCCCAAACACAGCTGGTCCCAAATGGCTGTTTCCATCACTGACCACCAGGCCTGCCCTCTGCCCCCCAGGGTCTCCAGCTGTCTGGCTGCCATGCCTGCCCTGTCTGGGCACTCCGTTCTGCACTGCAGCACTTCCATTGTTCCTGATGTGACCTGCAGTAATCATGTCCCTTTGCTGCCACACCAGGGGGGCGTGTGACCTCATGTCTGTGTGGTGTCTGCAGGGCCGGCACAGTGCCTGGCCCTAGCACATTGTCTGAATGAGGAGGTGTCAGGGCAAAGGAGCAGGGGAGGGGCCAAGGGACTGTGCCCAGTGGGGTGTACCTGCCCCAGTCAGGGGTATGCCTGGAAACCCTTCCCTAGCCAAGGTTTCCACAGGGCCCCTGTCCCACTGGGCTGTTAGAGAAATTAAAAGGTCAGAAATACTTTTGAAAGTAAAATGTGATACCGAAGTGAAATCCCACTGTAATAACATGCAGGGCAGCAGCCCTCACCGGGCCCTCAGAGTCCAGGCTGGCACTTGGGACCCAATGACACAGAGCCTCAGAGTCTATGTGAAGCTACCAGAGCCCTGGCAAGAGAGCCACCCTCCCCACACACACCCACCTCTGTCATTCCTGGGTGAGGCGAGGAGAAGCTCTGGGAAGAGTTCTATTGACCAAACACAATGACCTTTGTACTCTTAAAGCTACAGTTGCGTTGATGGTCAATACAAACAAGTACAAAAAAGAACGTATTAGGGTGATACATTATCAAGTGAGATGACTCAAAGCCTGGCCTCTCGGGAGGGGGTGGGGCTCAGGACGCCTTTGCTGGCTCTGGGTTAGAGGGGGACAGATTCACATGCCCGCTCCCTGCCTGAGGTCAAAGCCCCACGACTATCCGCCCATGCTGAGAAGCTCTAGGGGTTGTCAGGCCACAGAGGTCTGTGTGTGGGCGTCTGGCTGGAGCGTCAGGAGTCCAGAGCTGAGCTGATGTGCTCCGCAGGACAGGCCTGCTGCACGTCACCCCACCACCAGCCCGGGATGTACTTAGGACAGTCAGCTGTAACTCACAGCCTGTGTTCCTTGAATTGTCTGGGGTCATCTGGCAAAGGTGCACCTTGCACTTCAAAGGAGATATTTAGACCCCTCTCCCCGTCCTTCCACCAAGATTCACACATCCGTCCGTCCCTCCGGAGTCATTTGCTGCCTGCCTTCCAGGGTCTTTCTGTGGCCGTGAGTTTCTGCAGCAGGAAGGATGCTGGGAGCCTCTCAGGGAAAGAAAGACCCTCATTGTTCAGGAATTATGTCTCCAGCCGCTTTGCCCTCCTTACATGGGTGAAGTCACTGACTGACCAGGAGCCCCAAGGAGGCAGGGTGGGCCTGGCCCCTCATAGAGAGGCGGTCAGTGGATCCGCTGTCCGTTCTCCCCTGGTAGGGGTTTGCACATTGGCTAAGGCTGAGTTTGGCACCAGACATCCTTGGAGTTGAGACACTGGAGGGAGGGGAGAGACCTGCCGAGATGCTAGGCCATTTGCTCAGGAGGTGCTGGGGAGAAGATGGACGTTTGGACTTCTCTGGTTGAGTCTGGATGGCACGTGCACCGAGAGAGTCGTCCTGAGACTGTCGATAGCCAGCTCACAGCTCAGACCTGGCACTCAGTGAGCTCTCGTTGGTTTTCCCTTCAAAGCTGGGGGGTGGGCCCGTGAGCCTTTTGCCACAGAGCAAGTTGCACAGGGCGTGGCGGAACTTCTCAGCCACGAAGAAGTACATGATGGGGTCGAGGGCTCCGTTGAGACTTGTGAGGCAGGAGGTGATGCGGTTTCCCAGGGCCAGGATGCGCTGAGTGGTGCAGGAGGTGCGGCTGCCATGGTAGCGCAGCACGTAGACTGAGCGGTGGACGTGGTAGGGCACGAAGCAGACCAGGAAGATGGCAAGCACCATGGCGATCATGCGCACTGCCTTGTTCTTGAGGCGCTTCTCCACCCGGGGGCCCTGCCGCAGGCTGCGGATGATCAACAGGTAGCAGGTGACTGTGGTGACAAACGGGAAGGTGAAGGCCACAGCCAGGGACACTAGGGCATGGTGGGAGGCCTTCTCCCGGTACAGCTGCAGGCAGACCACAGAGTGATTGGTCTGCACTGTCTGCGGGCTGACCAGCAGTGGGGCCATGGCCACGGCCACCACCACCCACAGGAAGGCACAGGCCAGGTGGGCATAGAGGGGCCTGCGGAGCTTGAGGGACTTGACTGGGTGCACAATGGCCAAGAAGCGGTCAGCGCTGATGCAGGTGAGGAAGTAGATGCTGGCGTACATGTTGAGGTAGAAGAGGAAGCCCGTGAGGCGGCAGGGGATCTCCCCAAACGGCCAGTGGTTCCCAGAGAAGTGGTAGACGAGACGGGTGGGCAGGACCAGCACGCAGCACAGGTCGGCCACGGCCAGGTGCATCAGGAACACATTGGCCGGTGTGCCCGACTTGTGATCCCGGATGAAGAGCCACAAAGCCAGGGCATTGCCCGCAAAAGCCAGGATGAAATCCAGGAGGTAGAAGGAGGCAAACAGCAGGTTCTCCAGGGGTGTCTCCTGGCCACATTGCTCCACGGTGGCCTGTGAGGAGTTGGTAGTCAGGCTTGGGGAGGCCACCTCCAGGCCATTCATGCTTTGGCCGGAGCCCAGGGACGAGCCTGGAGGGAACAAACAACACGTGACAGAGCCTGGGACTGTGATGCTTCCCGCTCTCCAGAAGACAAGATCTGTGATGCCTTGGAAACCTCCGCCCTAGCTAGAGAGGAATGGAGTCGTGCTGACAGAGGCCTGGAGGCTGCATGGTTTGCCCACCCTAAGGCCCGGGCTCAGAGCCCTGCTGGCCATGGTAGCACACCAGGACGTCTGGAGAGGCCCAGGTGTGGGCACAGTGCTCCCCGCCCCGCCCAACAGACTCCTGATTTGATTTTATCCAACTAGACAGATCCAAAAAGGAAAGGGGATCCAACTAGACAGATCCAAAAAGGAAAGGGGGGGTGTCCCAAACACCCTGCCTCCCTCACAGAGGCCTGGGAGGAAGGAGCATGGGCAGGAGAGGGAAGGTGGTGGGGCCAGAGCAGCCCAGAGCCCAGAGCTAGGATGGGAGATGAATACCGTGCCTGGCCGAGGACAGCCGCCAGCCCTGCCTGCTCTTCCTGCGGTGCCCGGGGCCGCCCGCGAGCCCTGCCTGCTCTTCCTGGGGCTGCTCAGACTTTAGCCTGGGTGTGGGACACTGGAGGCCCCGCCTCCCAGCACCCATACACACCCCCAGCATGGTTGGGCTGCAGGAGGGGCAGGAGAGGGATTTGCAGGACAGAGGTTGGCATCATTGCAGGACAGCAGCGGGGAGGTGGAGCTCAAGCTGCAGCCATGCAGGGTGGTTCTCAGGGTGGCCCTGGCCTGACACCAGTAGCCAGGGACCTGCCTAGAACCAGATGTGTCTGCACACTTTTCCCAGCCTCACCCCCTCTCTTCATGATCACAAAGATGCCTCCTGTGGGGTCCATTGCTCCTTAACACAGCCGCCCTCAGGGAGGAGGCCTAGTCTCCCCATGCATGGATGGAAAATGGTCATGGGCATGGCCCTGGGGAAGGGCGTGGGCTCCATCCTTCAGGAAGGTGAGCAGGGCTGCCCTCAGACTTTCAGGCCTCATCCACCCCTGCCAGTCCCTTGGCTGGTCCCTTCAGGAGGGCAAGGGCTGGCTGGCTTGAGCATCTGGGCA